CAAAAAACAATGGCCAGACTGTTGCAAGCTGCACCCAAGTTTCATCCCTCAGAATGGGACATTGCAAACAAGATGCAGCGTGCCAGTACAGAGTCTCAGAAATCCAGATCAGAGCGCATGATAGCTGAGAGTCGGGGCCTGCTGGATGAAACAGAAAAGACAACTCAGAAAACCCAAAGTGATGTCAACAAGAGAATAGGTAATCCCATGTTCTGCAAGTGTCAAGGTGTGTTACTTGAGCTATATGTTTAAGATGGACTTGGAAAATTAGTTGATAGTGAATAGGAATATATGTCAATGCCATGCTCTCTGTGGAAAAATTCAAAATATTTTAGAAATTATTTTGAGGCAGATTCATTATTCTATAACAAATTATTTCTTCAAAACACAGAAAGCTATTCCAACCAAACCTCCTGACATACGGTTGCAAAACTGTCTCCACACATCAGCCTGCAGCACTACATGCACTCCACTATGGAATAAGTCTGGTTTTAGCCATATGTAAGATCTGACCCACAGTGCTCTGGCATATGAGATGGAATTGTATTAATACCTGTTTGCAATTTTCATTCTGCAGAACAGAGATGGGAAGAAATAAAATTCTGGAGGCAAGAATTAGATAACAAACTTGAACAAATCATTCATGAGACAGAGGTACTGTTGACTTTCAAGTCCAGGCTGGAGAAATCTTTGGAGAGCTGCAAAGAACCACTCGTAATTGCCCAAAAGTGTCTCCTGAACAGGTGAGATGATTAAGAAGAAAAGCATTCAGGGAGAGAAAAAAAAATCCTTAAACCTTTAACTAATAATTAAAAAAGCTGCAAACTAAGGGCATGCCTCTCTTTGCAGTGGAGTCACAGTCTGATTTAGGTGTTACAACACTGAGGAAACAAGGCCATAAAGCAAAAAATACCTGTGTGCCAAGAAAAAGCCTTCAGTTTGGAAAGCTAGGCTTCATCATCTTCTGTTAGCTGCAGGCATTTGAACAATGTTGCTGATGGCTTTTCCTCTTTGTTTAGGCAGAGGCGAGCTGGGATTGACTTGGTGCATGATGAAGTGGAACAGGAACTGGTGAAGGAAGCTGAAGTCCTCCAGGGGGTTATTGCTTTGCTTGGACGTACATTGGAGCAAACCAATGAGCAAATCAGGTGCAGGGGCAAAGAGCATAACTGAACACTGATTAGCTGAAAAGTAGGACAGCCATAATCCTGAGATGTTGTAGCATCAGGCTGAGCACAGGTCCAAACTTACCTGCAGTGCTAAATGGTTACAGGCGGTCAGTCCTAATTCATAGCACTTGATCAGTAATGGTAAGAAGTTCTGTTTGTCAGGACTCAAAAGTACTTGCATGTGATGCCTGGTCTTCTCATGATCCAGTCCTGTGCCTTCAATGCCAATGTGAATTGTACCATCAATTTATGTGGAGGCAGCTTCATACTCTACATTTTGGGACTTTGCAACTGACTGTTCATACATGAAGAATTCCATAACAGCATTTGTATTACCTAATGCATGTATGCATGTTAGGGACACCTGTGAGTGACTACACTTTGGCTTAGAGTCCGGTTGTTTCTCCTCATAGACTAAACCGTTCAGCAAAATACAACCTGGAAATGGATCTAAAGGACAAGTTCACAGCTTTGATGATTGACGATTACTGTGCTAGCTTGACAAACAACACTCCTGGTATCAGATATGCTGATAATACAGTGAAAAGAGAAGGAAAGTAAGTGGTTATTTAGTTAAATGAACATATGATAATTATACAGCTAGTATGAGCTGTTCCAGTAATAGCAAGATTAAAGTAATGTTGTGTAAAACAGACTATATCTGTCCATCATCTCTGTGTTGTAGATTGGTTTTTTTATACTTCTGTCCATCACTTTAGTATCTGTGTAGTATGTCTGTGAAATAAACCACAATAATCATGTTCCCAGTAAACTGGAGTTTACTAAAAGTTTTTGAGGCTCACAATTAGCTAAGGAAAAATTTCACACATTGATTAAACCCAGAATAGACTTACTAACCTAACTTACTCTCCTCTCCCAGGGTATCCTAGTGGGGAGAATCCCGGACTGGGGCACATGAGATGTGGAGTCAGGTTCTGACTCAGTTGTTAACCTGTCAAATGCACCCCTTTCTGTGTGGGTTAGCTAGTGTGAATGGTTTAGATGGAGAAATAGGCACTGCTGAAAAGAGGAGGCATACTGAGAAAGCAGTGTGTGTGAGGCAGTCTCCCAAGGACACTGTTGGCTTTGCGAGGACTGACAGCTCTTGCTGCTGGCAGTTAGCATGCATCAACAACAGGTTGCAATAACTCAGACCACACCCAGAATGGTGTTGGCTGCTACACGCAAATGACAATTACAGCTTTATATATATACACCCAATGAAACAATCCTCTGAGGAACTTTCCAAAACACCTGCCTGCAAGCCACTGGTGCACAAGTATGACCCTCTAATTCTGGGGATACAGTTGCGGGTTGGCTTCCCAACTATTGCTCCAACCAGGTACTATAAGAAGTGACTGTCTTACAGGTGGTGAACTGTTACCTGCTATTAGTAGTAACAGCTGAATTACATGAGTAATAACAGCTTAATTAATGAAAGGTGTTCTAAAAATCACTGGTTTTATCTGAGTTTCCCCCACAACAACTTAGTCCTTTATCAGGGAAAGTAAAGCTATAACAAAACTGCTCTGTGACTTTAACAAATTCGTTTCCATCTTACTTTTGTCTGCTTCGTTCTGAAATGTTTGCAATAGAGAAGGTATCTGGATCTGTAGAATTCCCAGCGCAGCTGGCACTCACTGGGATGTGCAGTTAATAGTACTGCTTTTGTCTTGGTTTTGTGGAGTAATCCTAGATTTATGAAGTCGCAGAGGGCCTGATGCTGCCAATTGATGATGTTTTATTTTGAATCTCTTTCAGTTTTGTTAGCCCTGAAGAATGGATAGATTTCTCAAACATAAATGTTGAAAAGGCTGACAAGCAGAGAAACAATTCTTTGGCACTGAGGGCACTGATTGACAGCATCCTCTCACAGACAGCGAATGACATGCGCAAGCAATGTGAGAAAGTGAATGTCACGTTTAGAAACAGGGTGAAGGAGGTTAAGGATGCCAAGCACAAGCTAGAGATACTCCTTGCAATGGTAAGTGGTAGGGGCCGGTCAGCAAAAAAGTGGAAACAATGGGCTTGGGTTACCTACCAGTCTTCTCAATCCAGTGGCTTGAGCTACTTTGCTTCAAGAATTTTACCTTTGCAATATTGGCAACCCTTGACACATTATACACACACACACCCCCCCCCGCCTCCCTCCAAAGTGGTCTTAGATGTTGTTTCCTCAGCTCTGTGTGCACCACTACAGAGGTGAATTTCTGGAATCACCCACTCAATGTAAGTGTTGCTGTAGATATCAGTAAAGTCAGGATTTCCCTTGCGCTTTTTAATTACATGGGGTGCCTATAGAATTTTCATAATTGTGATATACGAGCCTAATAACTTACAAAATCAGGGTCAATGTGCTCAAAATGTGATACATGAAAACTGAGTGTTAATATTGAGCGTAAATCTCCACTTTCACTCAGAACAGTGTCACCTGCTTTCCAATGAAGGAATCATAATTGTGGCTGACCTTTGTAAAATACCCTTTGATGAAAGAACATCTTAACAAGTGTTACTGTGATTGTTATTAATGTAACTATTAAAGAAAACGTTATTTCACGCATTGTAAGGAGACAGTGCGCAGCACTTCCTTCTGTTGTATTTGTTAAGGTGATGGATGAGTCTGCCTCGCAGGAGAAGAACATTGCAGCCTTAAAGAAAGCAATCGCTGATAAAGAAGGACCTGTTAAAGTGGCTCAAACCCGCTTGGAAGCAAGAAACCATCGCCCCAATGTGGAATTGTGTTATGACACAGTGCACTACAGCCTGATTAGTGAAGTTCAAGAGATTACAAAAAATATTCAAAGGCAAGTGGAAATGATGAAAGAGGGGAAAATCTGTGGTATAGATTACTGGGTTAATTTAACGAGTCGAAGTGACACTGGGTCCCAGCTATTTATTCTCCCTGAAAAGTTGGGAATTGCTTTTGCCTTAAGGGCAGGGCACTTTAATGGAAGTCACATGGATATTGTCTCTCTGTGAATACCCTTCTGTCTTTTTTTTCTTGCTCAGAATTCTTATCCCATATGAACAAAAACCTACCCATGTGTTTTCAACTAATGTCTCTGTATTTTTCCTGTTAGATTAAAGGACACACTGGCACAGGCTCAGACTGCATTGAAAGGTCTGAGCCGCCGACAGCTTTCCTTGGAGGAGGAGATCCAGGTCAAAGAGAATACACTGTACATTGATGAAGTGCTCTGCATGCAAATGAGAGAGTCTGTTTACATTAAAAACTTCTGAAGCCATCATACTTGGAGATTTTTGTGTGCTCCAAGAGTCAGCTCCTGCTGAATTGACAAACCTCCAGATTTATTGGTTTGGCTCAATGCTGTCCTGGTTCTAGTGGTGCAAGGTAATTAAAACAGACCTAGTACTTAGAGCTATCTGTTTCACAGCTATATATGCTCTAGAATGCCTGATGAAATCTCCTACTTGGCAATAAAATTCCAGAATTAGAAGAAATGGCCCTTCTTCCATGTTACTTATCTCATATGCAGCCAGTGATATCTTTTGGCATTGAAAAGTCTAGAAGCTGAGGAAGCTAGAGCAGGAGTGTCCTCATAAGTCACTTGTTGGAAAGCTGGGCAGGTGGGAGGGGTGACTCTCGGGGCTAGCCACAGTATGTTTTGTTCTTAACATCTGCTGTTAAGAAGTAGGCACCAGGGTGTGTATCAAACTTAACAGGAGGTAGGGACTGGTGATACACTGCATAATGCATCTGACTACATCCGAGTCAAGATCAAGCCAAGGCTGACTTTGGGCTAATCAGTCACTTCTTCACCCCACATCTTGGTTTCCCCATTTGTAAAATGGAAACAAGACGGGATTCCTTGGTAAGGTGTTGGAAGCTCTACAATAAGAAGTGCTGAGAAAAGAGGAAAGCCTTATTTTTTTACTAGAGATGCCTGTAAGGGTGGAAAAGGGCTCACTGCTTCTTTTGGTTCTGGTGAGGAAAAACAAAGCAAGGACAAGAATAAATGATGCTGGAGACACAGGAGGATGATTCCCAAGCCCAACATTTTAATGCATGGAGTGTAAAATTGTCCCTTGCCTCTCTCTTGCTGTAATGGTATCTCCCCTTCAGAGATGCTGCTGTCGAGATTCAAATCCCTTACTAATGCCCTCCAAAGGATCCATTCATTGCTTGCAGATGTCAGTGGGTGGTGTTCTCTCTCCCTGTGGTTTATACCATTGGGTAGGTGATGACAAAATAAGTAAGCTCCGAGTCAATCAGGTATTTGAACTTCCTGTAAATATTGCACAGCAGCTGATCCTCCTCACTGCTATCTTGCCGAGCTGTGTAAATCCTGACCTGTAGGCATGAATGACAGTCCTGTCTCTCTGATACATGGAGCAGGCTCAGCCCCTTAAAGCTCATGACAAGAAGTCTCTGTGACTAATGAGGAATCTAGAGAAGCCAAATTCCTTGGTTTTTAGTAAAATCTAGATGTTTTACTCTGTTTTCACTCCAAAATGACTGAAAACATAATCTCCCAGCAAAGAATTTTTGGGAAGAGTAAGGTTCCTTTTACCTCCCCAAACTGATGCATCCCTGGGATCTGCACAGATCTGGGAGGATCTACTGAATTCAGAATCTAGCAAGCAAAGCAGCATGACAGCATGGTTTACATCGGCTACAGTTGTGGTCTGGCCCCAGTTGAATACAGCATCCCTAAAGTGAGATGTGTTTTTTCTTTTTGCAGTTTAGTAGGATTCAACCCACCTACCTCAATTTACGCATAGACCTAAGCACTGGGCCTGAGAAGTGTCTGAGAATCCTTAGCTTGAACTAGAGGTGACAGAGGAAACCCCAGCCTAGGAATGACTTGTGGAATTGTTTGGGCTTGTTATTAAACTTCTGTAGTATTCTGTACATGTCTAAGTAGGTTGAAAAGCCCCTTTTCTGGGAGTGCTTCTCAGGCTCATAATGCTAAAATATAACATAGGGAAGTTATGTGTAACATACATTTCTGTAAGTGCCCTTTCTATGGGCATGGGGACCTCACCTTTTCTCTGGGTATTGGAGAGAGGAAGGGAATGGGAATTTTGAAGCACAAAGTCTTACCTTTATGGTAGTCAAAATGCATTTCCTTTCTGCACGGTTTTGTAGCAGCCTGTCCATAAAGGTGACGCTTAGAAATGCCCAGACTTTCAGAAATAACAACCTCTTGCATGATAAGATGAGCTGTAGCAGCTCATCGTCCAGCAGCTCATGGTCATTGTTTAATTCAAGTGTTAATTTCTTGAAAAAGAATGAACGCTGTTAGTACTACTGAACAGAGCTTGTGAACACAGTAACTAGAATTCAATAAACAAGAGTTTCCCAGTTTTACCAACAGAAGTGACTGTCAGCAGATGAATTTTCTACCTTGATATTAGCAGAGAATCAGTTTTGCATTATGACAACAGTATATGCAACAGTAATCTCCACTCTCCCGTTAAGATGGGGGGACTACAAACCATGCTAAGAGACAGACAACTTCTATTACCATTAAAAGATGCTACACCCACAGCTCATGCCATAATCCTTTTTGACATATTGCAAAATATCTCAGATAGAAGAGTAGATCTAGAGACCATTTCTAGAAAGCTTTACAGAGCTCTGGTGTTTAGAAACTCTGCAATGCAACAGAACTCAAAGACAGCCGTCAGCAACCGTTAGGTCTAAGGCTGTGTGCTTCCCTCAAGCATTCAAAGACCTGATGCTCATTTACATGGGTCAGCTGTTGCACATCTTTGATACCAAAGTGTTTTGGCATGGGCACCAGTTAATTTACATGTGCTGTAAGACATTTGTGCATTGCCAAAATGGAGCAAAACCATCAGTGCATGCTACAGCTCTGTAAGCAAACAAGGTGTATAGACTATCTTCTTCAGATCCAGATTTACCTGCAGAAGGGTGTGGTTAGAAAAATCTGAAAGGACACGAAAGTTATCAGTTACTAAACATGAAGGTGTGTAACCAGAGTAAGCCTAAATGTTTCTTAAAAAAATGATGGTTTCCTGCCTGAAAGGTTCTTTTTTTCTCACAGCTGACATTACAACCACCAATATTTTGGCTGGTTTAGTTTTTTATGAGGGCAACCTGACATCAGTCTGGCAGCAAAGACTAGCATCATGGGGATTGTTACTGGAGAAGGATAATTACCTGAACTAGACTATAGCTGGAACACTGGAATGGCTCACTTTTACACAAAAATTACCCTCTGAACATAAAACTGAAGCAGTCAGGAATTCCTATTGATGACTGCTGTTATGCAGAAGGCCTATATGATTATTTTGCTTAGCTTTGTGATACTGCTGCAAGATGTCACTATTGTTTCCTTTACCTGCAGAACATGCCAGTAGGCTGGGAGAAGGTTGGTGAGGGTAGGTTTCATTGTCCAGTCTGGGTCACTGAAATAGCAGCTCCGTAGACTGATGCTCCTGACTGGGATCTCCATGAGCAGGATCCTGGCTAGGTGATCGTGCTTCACAACTCTTTCAAAGAAGAAGTTCACATTCAGTTTTGGGGCTTTCTTGGCCAAGTTTGCCCACGACATTCCCCAGACAACTTGCCCATGAGGGTCATGGATATGACATTTGATATTCAAGGTGCACAGGGAATGAGCACTGTGCTCCCGCAGGATGTCCAGCAGTTCATCAGAGATGCAGTTATAATTGAAAGTCAGGATGATCAGGCTGTGGAACTTGGACATAGTTTGGTGGAACAAGGTGCTACTGTAGACAGGAAGGCGGAGACTGAAGAAATCCTCAATATTAATTTTAGATATAAAGCTTTCATTTGTCAAGCAGCTCAGAGAATTCAGAAGCTCACAGCCTTCTTCTAAGGTTACTCTTGCTCCTTTTAAGTTTAGATAATCAAGCCGTTTGCTCATTCTTTTCAGAAAGGTAGCTAAGTTCTTGATAAACTGAGCCCTGACCACGTTTTTCCAGAAAAAGCGGTCTAATTCCAGGTACTTGATGCACAGAGATACTAGGCGACTGTTATGCTTACCCAGGTGTGAAAGAAGACCTCTCATAGTCACTTGAAATTTTTGGGTAAAGGCAGTATTGTAAGGTTTTGATAACTTGATCTCGAGGTGCTCCAAATACTTGGCAAATTTCTTGACATAACACAGTGCACGTTCAGACGCCAATGTGCGTGCCCTTGATGGTTGGCTGTAGAATGTGATGGTTCTGCTTCTCCACAGGGATCCTGAGTACATGGCCCAACTCCATTTTTTACAGACCAAGGCAGCCCGAGCTCTGTCCCTGTCATCTAACCAATGGAAGACATGCCTCAGACAGACATCAGGTAGATAAGCCCAAGAGCTCTGCTCGGCTTCGCTGTCGTCTTGCATTGAGAAGAGTTTTTCACTTCTCTTCTGGGTGTTGAGCCAAACCTAGTTGAAGAAAGCTGTGGATGGATTTCTTACCATTCCCAACAGAATAGCCTTCCAAGGAAATGGATGAAAGTTTGCTTCTTCACATTCAAAACCAACAATCCTTTCTTTGCCTCTGTACTCAAGCTGTCAGGGTCAAACAAGCTCTTGGGTCTAAACTATAGCCTAACCTAAATCAGAAGAAAAAACCCAATGAGCGAAGAACAAGCACAGGACATGTCTTTTAACTTTTTGGCCTTCAGTCTAGCTAAACATTGAAATACTATCAACTGCTGATAGCGCAGCCACAGCCTCTAGAAACCTTTGGTTAGCATCAGCTGTAATTGATAATGGTTTATGGCCTGATACCTTGGGTCTAAAAGTATCCAGTGCTTTGGGCTGTACACATTTGAACAGCGCTGTTGGTGCAAAAGACTTTTCTTATCCTTCTGGGGTACTGTTCCATGACACTCGTCTGAGGCAGTACCCTGCCATAGATTAAGGTACAATCCCTGTTGTTCAAGCAAGATGTTCAGTCATTGTGCTCCAGTGGACAGGGAGAAGGCTGATGAGTCAGAACACCAACTGGGTAGTGTTAAAACACATAAGTAAACACTCACAATGCAAGAAGTTACCAGTTCACCTCTCAAGGCTGGCCTGTATCAGTATTCAGCTCCCTGTGCACTTTTTCAGCTCTCATTGTCTCCCTCAGTTCAGCCATTGCCATGGAGCAAAGCGGTAACATTTGTGATGCCATGACAACTAAATTTATGCAAGGGCAAACAGTGAGCAAAGCTGACTTGGGCCAACTCATTTGGGCTAAGGTGAACACAGTGAAAAGGAAAAGCAGACTTGTTTGAGTAGTCCCTTAGGAAGTGAGAAATACAGGCCACAATCTACAAGCCAGGTGCAGGCTGTATGTCTTGTCACTTTTCACTTGACCAGATAAAAGCTCAAACAGCTGAGCAATAAACAGCCAAGAAGGGAAGGGATGCATCCTCTGTCTTTTCAGCTATGAATTGCAAACTTCAGCTGTGAAATGCAAACTACATCCCACTGGCCTGTTACATGCTTCTTTTAGAATCACAGAATCATTCAGGTTGGAAA